TTGCTTTGCTTTTCTTGACCGGTCTTGTGACCTCTTGTTCTCCCCCACTTTGCCTATGGGGGTGTGTCAAACTTATATGCTGCTTATTGTGTAGGCTATAATGGGGTAGCCCATATGGGGTACAACCCAAATAGGGTTTGCTACTTGTACCCATCTTGCTGCTAGTTCATCCATTCTCGCTTACTGATTCTGACATCATCATCATAATCATAATAAAAACAAAACAAAATGCTGATTGCCATCGCCGCCCCGTCACATACCAATGTGGAGATTTTGTCCTCCTTGACAATTAGAATATACGCCTGGCGAAAAGTTTCGCCTAAGATACTGCATGCTATTTCAAATAAGCCACATGGTAACTCCAGTTACGACTCACCTCCTCCTCCCTGTTAACTGGTTCGTCGGCCCTTTATTCCAGATAAGCTTGCTCTGTCCCTACGTCCCAACCACGAGCCAACTACCCGCAGTCGCCCATTCAGCATGACACGACCGCCAGTACAACCAGTCATCAAACCTGGAAAATATATAGTTCGTGATTGACGTGGAGCTCGAAATTCTCACATGTTGGAAAGCCAGTATGTTAACGAAGACATTTGGGTGCATCTGGATAAAATTGAAGACCACCTTGTCCTCACCGCCTACCTATGCAGCAATTATCATCGAGATGTAATAATACTTTCAAAATGGTGGTCTCCTTGGGGAGGGGGGAGTGTAAGGGATCATTTTTCTCCTTACTCCACGTCACCCGACATATTCGATAATAACACTGTACACGCCACCCACGGCCATTTCCATCACGTTTCAACCTCGCGATATTCTCCCAGACTGTCGTGCCCAAACCATACGCCTAAGCCGGTAGGTCGTGATATGGTAGTACGCCTTAGACATTTCTTATCCTTGGCGTTAGGCCCATAGAGCACCACATTGTTCGCTCGTTGTCGTTACCAACTGTTTCGATGCATAACATTCGCCCACACCTTTACTTAACGCTGTTCAATTGTTATAATCATCGTACCTTCACTCAATTGCACGCGTAACTCCGACACAAGACAATTAATGTGTATATATATCGTCCAATTATGGGGAGTGACGCATTCGAGAGGCACGCTAAGAGCGATCGCATCGGGACGAATGCGTCCACAATGTTTGTTCTTTCAGCAGTGACGAGATCAATATCGACATATTCGTACCTTCAATCGTATAGTTGTTTGAAATGTCGCAAAACATCGGTCGCATGAAACCTTCGACCATATCAATCGAATATCGGATGCTCGATGATGGTTCGTGTTGATGGAGATCTATCGTTCCACCAGTCGATGCATTTTTAGTGGTACATGATGATTCTAAAACACATACCAATTTACCCAGGCAAAGACTTGTTGCCGGAGTTACGAGTAGGAATTAAATGGTGTGGAGTGAGCTACACTCAACATATTTCCTAGTCACATTTTTTACTTTACACAGGGAGAAAAGAACATCGAGGTGTCAAGATAAAACGAAAGACAACAAAATGTTGCAGTCGCAAGTTGCAGTAGCTTATGTAATGTTGCTTTAAAGCCGATTGATGTTAGTGTCACCAAGCGCTCCACATTATAAACGTCTTCATTGAAAAGGCAATCGAGCATCGAATGTTTTGCACCCTTTGACTAATCAAGGTGTACAATTTTACCTCTGTTGTGGACTTCAAAATGCACAACTGTTGTCGTAGTGGGAATACTGTACACTTTGTTTTCGTTTAAGTTAATCACATTCTAGCATGGCTGAGACTGTAAACTGCAGTGCATTTAACCTGCATTTGCCGAGTTTGCTAAGGGCAAAATATGAGTGTAAACTGTTAATTTAAAAAATCATGGATTTTTTTCGGTGACATATCTTGGTGTGCCTGTGTAACTGTCTAATTGAGGTGTCTTTTCCTGTATGTACGGTTTCCTGTGTTGGAACGATGTATATATTATTTCGGTGGGACTCTCAATGATGTACGGTTTCCCGTGTTGGAACGCAAGATGGCCGTAGGTCCTGGATGGCACTAGCAGATGCACAGCATAATGTTGGATAACATGTGTATTAACCCTTACACCCTTATTCGTTACTCTCGAACGTTTTGTGCAGGGCGGGTGCGATTGACCTATCTGTTGTGCGAGTGTAACGTTTCCGTGTCGTACAGCCCTGCGCAATCATATGTTCGACTGGGCGCAATATTGGTCGGCCTGAACTTATCATTGCTCAAAGATATTTCTAAACAGTGACATTCTGATTTGTCTTCACCGCTTTTGTTTGTAACCTGTGCTGCATTGCGAAAACCACGATGTGACTTACAAAACATTTTCGCTGTGTTCGGGAGTGTAGCGAAATTTTCCATTTCGCGTGGACCGAATCTTTTGACAACTGCTCATCCGGCGTGTAGTGATTAAATACTGAACATACCGGATGATGCGTATCGCTGCGACTTAACGTTGGAGTCACCCCCAGAGGTTTGCATCCTTGGAGCGAGTGTATTGAGCGTGCGAGTCAAATCTCGTCGAGTGTAACGAATAACAGGGTGTACCGCTGCTAGCTGCCAATGCCTCACCTAGGCTGACATCTTTGATCAGTTGCGGCTGTTCTGATTCATGCACATGCTGGCACGGGTGGCATGTTTTGTTGGAAGCGGAAAATACAGGTGCGATGCATCACGTCACTTCATCGTCAGTCTCAGCTGTTCCTCACCGCTGTAAAAAGTGTATTGGTTGGCTATTGTCAGCTCCACGTGACACCTTTGGCTATGGTTACTCTTCGAGATTTTCTGTGGCAGGTTCGCTGATCGCATTAATGCTGACCACGTATCCTTTCCCTTCAGCGGTTAGCGTAGCTACTGACCACACATATAGAGTTGGAAATATCATCCAAATGCAAGATACGCCAGGGCATCCCGCCCTAATTTCGCTCCCTACACATCATGCTTCACAATTCCTTTCCACCTTATCCTTCACTGCCCTGAACAGATGACCATTCTCCCGCCGCTAGAGGAACTACTGTATGACTACACTCACAGGGTTGATAAACAAACATCACTTGACCAACATTAGAAGATCATCGCCTATTTGCAGATTGATACTGGCAACAGCCCGCTTTTTTGTGTCCGCTCCATCGAATCTTGTAGCAAAACTAGCACGACAGTTTTATACTTGCAGATAAAAATGTGTTCAGAAACCGCTGTTACCTGGACTCAACAAGGGTTTCCATCCGTACTATCTCAAGATAATCCGAACTTGGGACTTAGAAGCTCACATTTGCCGTTTGTCTATCAGATTGTGCCCGTGGCGAAATGCATTTGTACGTTTCTATTTAACGTCAGTGAAAATGGTAGGTGAGTGTAAGGTGCGTTTGTGTACATTTTTTCGCACAAAACATCCTGATTCATCACCACCATCATCATCACCACAAACATCCTCAAAATTATTTTCTTTCATTCTCAAAATTAACGGGGCAAGCAACTGCGGGCGGGACTGAAATGGATCTTAGCTGGGGGGAGACCACTTGTTTGGCGCAGAAGATGTGCTTGGCAGCTTGCTTGCTTGGGGGGAGTGGGCTATGTGTTACAGTACAGAGGGTGAAACCCAAACCAAACCAAAGTGGATATCGATCGATCGACCCCCTTCGTTCGAGCAACGATTTGAGAAATGTTAACCGTCCGATCTCGAAATTCGAGAGCTGGTACTTCTCGGCATTCCACATCCGACAAACTGTGAAGTACAGAATTCGGCGTTGGCTTGCATGGCGCGCGTAAAAAATGTCTGTTCCACGGACAATATCGCAGCGCAGGGGCTGCTGGAACAGATAAGACAGGTCAGCCCTCGGTCGTTTTGTGGCTATGCTCACGCCGCGGATTTCGTGGCTGCACTGTAACCTCGTGGTCACTGTGTGCTCGTGCGCCCAAGCAACCAGCCCAACCAATCTCTCGAACCAGCCCAGCGAAACAAGGTTCATTACATTGTACACCGCCAAACCTCTCAAAATCCACAACACTCCACTAAACGTCACTGGAATCTAAGAGCCACAAATTCCACGAACATGCCCACGTGCTTCATTGGAATCATGGGAGGAGGAGGAGGCTCAGTCCCTTCAGATCACTATTGACCGACACTGGGTGGAGAAATGGAAGGACTTGGAGCTGGGGTCGGGAAGCAGACGTATTTTCAATCATCTCGAACCGATTGGGAGAATAAAAACCCCTGATTTTCTGGAGTCCACGAGAATTACCTTTTTTGAATTAAACGTGTCATAGCCTTACACCCCGTTCTGTTGCCAAATCGGGGGTATTCTTTCATTGAGTACAGGCCTGCATCCCACAGCCCTTCCCTCCCACCCACCCCTTGCCCCCCTTCCCAGCTCCTCCTGGCAGACCGTGCGACATCGTGGCATCAGTTCAGTTTCATCGGTTCGGTTTCTCCGTTTCCCGCATTGAAGCGTTTCAGTTGGCCTCACTGCGGAAGGAACCAATTGCAGGTTTTGTGTCGCGTTTCCTCTCGCCGTTTTCTCATCCACAAGCATGGCAGGCAGTGCATCGTGTGGCCTCCATCTCTTTTCCTCCATTTTCAAGTCAGGAGGAGGGTACTGTTATGCATGAGTCGTGGCTGTGAAGAACGAGCATCTTGTAGAATTCTCCCTCCAGCATAAAGTCCGAGCAAGCCATTCGCTACAGAAACTAGCATCGCGTGAATAGATACAACGTCAATTCTAGAGCAAAATTTTCGCTTAGGTGGGCAATACAGTACTGTACTATTCTAGGCAGGTTTCTTGCTGCACCTTCTTTCTAGCCGTTTAGACGCGCCGTTCCGTCGAAAAGTGTCGCATACCTTGTGCCTTACTCTTCCAGCTTTGGCGTTTTAGATCCAGCGTACCATCATCATTATACTTAGTGCTTCGTCAGATAATCTGGTTTCTCGTTTAGCTCCGTGTGCTGCTGGACCACTAGCTCTAAATCACCTCTGACCGTCAGCTGCGGCGAATTTGACGCAACAATGGCGGCTGTTGATTGGCTACGGCAGGAGTCCGCCTTTCGAAGGCCTCCGGCAACGTCCATTCCCTCCCCACGCGTTTCCTTCCCTCAAGAATTCATATGCCCACTCTCCAGCGAGGTTATGCGCGACCCCGTTATAATCAGCTCCGGTAAAAGCTTCGAGCGCGTCTACATCGAGCGCTGGTTCGCGCAAGGAAGAACCACGTGTCCCAAAACCGGCGAGCCGCTCGCGCACCAAATGCTCACGCCCAACGAGGCGCTCCAGAAGCTCATTTCCGATTGGTGCAAGTCCCACATGGTCACGCTCAAGCCTCTCCGTCCGTCGAGCCCGCTTACGCCAGCTGGGGAGAACACTCGCAACTCGTCGATTCCGCCATCCCCCGCTTCCGGAGAGCGGTTCGATTTGGCGAAGGCTCGGGCAGCAGCAGCAGCGGCAGCGGATCGCGCAGCCGCAGGTTCCGCCGATAGTTCCGCCGCGACCGGCGCCGGAGGCAGCGCAGCGTCGCCACGAATCTCCCCACAGTCGATTCTCGAGCGGCGCCACTCGTTGCAATCTAAGAGTGACAACGGTTCGACTCCCGGCGCTTCGACTACGGGCAGCTCTGCAGGCGGTTCTGGTCCTGCCGCGGTCGAGACGCCTAAAAAGCTTACCAATTCCTCCTCTGCTAACGCCTACGTTTCCGCCGGTCCCGCCGCTGCGAACATACCACCAGCAATTCCTAAGCATCTTCGGCCAAGCGCGAACGACGGACCCCTCCTACGGACGATGTCGCCCCGTAGGAAAGGGGAGCAGTCGCCTGCGACTCCGTGCGACGCTTCTGCGAGCCCGCGGGTGCTGCCTCGGAATAGCAGCGACCCGTGGCTGTCGTCTACGGATGAAGATTCGAAGAACGACGAGGCACTCGGGTCGTTCTTGGCTGGAAACGCGGGGGGAAACGCGGCGAGGGCGCAACGTCAGGGGTCGCGTCGCGGATCCGCGTCGCCGCAAGAGGCGGTGCCGTATTCAAAGCAGTTCTTGAGCGCGACGCCGACGCGGCGAAGCAGGCGCACCAGCGAGCAGGGCTCAGTTACTGAGATGCGACCCTTGATCGACGCTCTGCGAACAGGCGACGTCGCACAGCGTCGCGAGGCGGTTCATACGCTGAGGATCGCGCTGAAAGAGGCGCCGGAGAATCGCACGAGATTGGTCGCCGCGGGCGGCATCCGACCGTTGATGCAGATGCTGCTCTCAACGGACGGTCCGATCGTCGAGCAAGCGTCGGCCGCGACGCTTTACCTCTCTCTTCAATGGGACGGCGCCATGGAGGTTGTCTCCGCCGGCGGCGTTAGGAACCTGGTCGAAGTGGTGAAGACTTCGCGCGGCGGGATGTGTTTAACTCCGAGGGGTGCTAATGATGCAAGCAACGGCTCGTTGATGAGTCCTAGACCGGACGGATCGTTCGAGGCGACTGAGGTGGCGAAATCGAACGCCGCAGCGGCTCTCTTTGCGCTATCTAATGCGGAGGAGAATAAGAAGGTCGTCTGGTCGGCTGGTGCTGTTCCGCCGCTGATTAATCTCCTCCGAAAGGCGACGTGCGCGCGTACGAAGAAGGATTGCTGCCTTGCGCTTTACAACCTGTCGTTGTTTCTGAAAGCTGCGGAGGACGCGATTAAGCACGGGCTGGTTCGCCAAGTGTTTGCGCTTCTGGAAGGGGAAGACGAAGCGGGAGTGGAGGAAAAGGCTGCGGTGTTGCTTTGCGCGTTAGTTAAGTACCCGCAGGGTATCTACGCCTTGAGAAAGGAGGAGGATGTGGAGTTCACCCTGATCGGGGTAATGGAATCTGGTTCGGAAAAGGCGGCGGAGCTTTCGGCGGGAACGTTACTCTCATTGGCGAAGGCCGATGGCGACGACGCGATGAGCGAAATCCTTAGCGAGGGGTGCTTGCCGCCGTTGGTGAAACTCGCGGGTAACAGCAAGCCCGATTCGGATTCGCGAGCGCTCCTAGCGATGCTTCGTGAGTTCGCCCAGATCCGATCGGGCGGCAGTGTAGCTGGGAGCCAGCCTGGCACGCCCATGGCAGGGAGCAGGCCAACCACACCCCTGGGACGCGGCGGAATGAGATAAGTGATGAAGCCATTGCGTTGGGGAATAGGGAAGGAGACAAGACGAGGCTGGATGCAATTAGTGTTGCGAGGTCTGGGGCAGGTTGAAGGATTGGTGGAAGAACGGAGAGGAGAGCCTGGCTGGAAGGGTAGTGTCTGGTTTGGTTCTAATGCGGCGGAGTTTCCGAAGCGGTGACCTGTAATCACCTATCCTGAATCTGCTTCAAAGGCTGCTCAGTTTCTGAAGCGGTGACCTGCATGGCCTACCCTGGAACTGCTGCAGGGCTGCAGGTTGGAGGGTTTGAAGGAGATGGGATGGAACAGCTTGGGACAGTGTGGAAATGGAGTGCGAGATGGCATGGCAATCTTTCAGGGAGTGGGACAGGGAGGGAGAAATCCAGACACGGAAGTGTTTTTTTTTTTTTTTATATATGGGACGTAGTCTAGACAAGATGTCCTTTCTGATGAGATAAGAAACCTGTGCTTTGGTCATTCTGGGCAGGAATTCTGTTGGTGTCCCCAATAACCCAAATATCCTCTAGATTTGTACCGTAGTAGTATGCTATGTAGTTAGGTGATATTGCTAAAATCATCCAATCCAAATCAAATGCGCATACATTCATATGTGTTTTTTCTCAGCCCAACATATAGAATAAAGGTTTGTGGCTACAAGGACAATGCAGTTCCTCCCACCAGGATACACCTGCGCATCCAGCTCTGTGCCCCCTCCCTACTTCTGCACCTTCCTAATAGAAGCAGCCCTGAGTGAAGAACATGGTTTCCAAACCCCTAGGCACCACACATTCGAACCCATACAACACCTGCATGTCTAGTATCCATGCAACCCCCTACTGCTGGCCCCATCCTCAGCTATTACACCTAAGTGAAGGACGTGGTTTCCAAACCACCAGGCGCCACCGACCCAAAGCCATACAACACATGCACACCTCCCAACCATGCTCCCTCCTACTGCTCCCCCAACCCCCTTCTTACAGAAGCACACCCCCAACTGACACGCCTACCGCGTGAAAAACGTGGTTCCCAAACCTCCAGTTGCCACCGACCCAGACCAATAAGAAACCTGCACTGCACGCCCGGTAACCACGCAACCTCCCTGCTGCTGCGCTCCATGACCCCAGCTGATTAGGCTACTGAGTGAAGAAGGTGGTTCCTAGACCGCCAGGTGCCACTGAACCAAACCCACATGACACCTCCATGTCTGTAATCCATGTAACCCCCTGCTCCTGCTCCCTGCTCCCTGCTCTATTATCCACTGCTCCATGCTCCCCCGTCATTGCCACAATTCAGCTGATAAGGCTACTGTGTGAAGAACGTGGTTCCTAGGCCCCCAGGTGCAACTGACCCAAACCCATACGACACCTGCACCCCTCCCGTGCCTGCTGCGCCCCCAGCAGCACCCGCCCCAGATGCAGCCGCCCCCAGAGAAGACACATACTGCTGAGCTGCCGCCGCTGCTGCCGCAGCCTGGTTCTGCTGCCCTGGCGACTGCCCCCCTGCTGCCCCCCCTGCCGCACCTGTCCCTGCGGTCGGGAACCCCATGCCTTGAAGCCCGGCCGAACCAAAGGCGGAGGCTGGGAGGCCGCCAGGGAAAGCGTAGGGGGAGAAGGCGAGGGGGTTCTGGAGGGCCACGCCGGTGAGTGCGGCTGCTAGCTGCTGCTGCTGCTGGAGCTGGGCTTGTGCTTGGGCAAACGCGTTCTTCTCCTTGGTGCCGTCGAGGGCGTATTTCACTTGCACCTTGCGACCCTGAGAGGAAGAGGAAGGAATGGAACAGGGGAGGGGGAGTGTGAGAGCTGCTGTTCAAGCCAAAATTCGGCATGTGCTTGGGGCAACCGTGGTCTTCTCTGGTGGGCATAAAAAATGACACAAGTCAAACGTTTTTCAGGTCCGTAAAGTGCTCAATGAAGAAGCATATGAAAAGGTTCGCACAGCTGCCCGTACTCACATCGATGAACTTGGTCGGCTCTACGAGAGCCTTCCTTGCATCATCTGCTGACCGGTAGGTCACGAAGCCAAAGCCTCTGAAAGAAGGGAATGGGATCAATAAAAACACAAACGCAAACACAATGAAGGAGAGTTGCACGAGTTCGACGCGATCAAGATGGGCGTGCATCCATCCCCATTCCCACACAATCTCCCTTCGACTTCGAAGCAATTTGATGGTTTCCATTTGACACCATGCCCCTTTTCCTCTCTATCACCCCATGCGGTTAGTCTTGTTTCGACGTCTCTCCCATCTGGACTTGTGCGTCTAAAGTGGCGGAACAGTCTAATCGTACCACAACACTCAACCCTTCTCTTCTCCCAGCCTCACCTGGACTTGTGCGTCTCGCGGTCGAACGCCACAGCGCCCTCCTCAATCTCCCCGTACTGCGAAAAGTAGTCCTTGAACGTCTCGTTCGTCGTGTCGAAATGCAGTCCCCACACGTACAGCTTACGGTATACCAAGTCAGCCCCACTAGAGTAGCTCGGCCGGTATTGGTACCCACTGTCTCCGCCACCGCCGCCATGGGAAGAGGCAGCAGCGACGGAGGTGGCTGTTGGGTGGGACGTGGGGCCTGCTGCTGCGAGGTTGCACATGGCAGCACGGCCCTGTGGGGAGAGGGAGGGGGACGAAATCTTCGTGGGTTCAACTTCCCTTACGTCAAAGCTTCTTTGGTAAGAATAACCTCTACATAATAACCTCTCGAAATAAAGCTTGATTCTTGGAAATATACTTCTAATGTACGTCATTCAGTCAGCTGCACTCCGGTCGATCCTTTTCGTGGGTTCGCGAAGAGCCAAATAAGCGGACTCCGACGACTTACAGGTAACTCAGCTGCACTCACGTCGATCATTTTCGTGGGTTCGCGAAGAGCCATGTAAGCGGACTCCGACGACTTGAAGGTAACGAAGCCGAATCCCCTAGACCGACCGGTCGTGCGATCCGTGATCACCGCGCCCTCCTCGATCTCGCCGTACTGCTCGAAGGCCTGGCGGAAGTAGACAGGAGAAGCGGAGAAATGCCAGAACAGGGGGGAATAGTACCATAAGCGGGAATCTTTTCAAGAGTCATTAGTTATGGACGCTGGGGGATCCCCGTCGCTATCCTGTCATGAGCCATTTGTTTTTATTTTCAAGCCTGCCTCATCAGTCATCTCGTGACTCGTCCGATCCGTAACGACGGTTCGCTCCTCGATCTTGGCCTGCTGGTAGACGTACACGGGAGAATAGCAGGGAAGAGGGCAAACATGCCATACCCCACTCAAAATAGAGGGCAACCATGACAACCCCCCCACAAGAAAACGGCAACCGCGACGAGCTCCGCATAAAAAAAAGAGATAATTAACAGCACTCGCGCTGGCAATAGCCAGCGACCCTCGTCCAGTAGCGCAAGACTTCGTTGTGCCAAGAGTTCTGCGCTTACAGCAAGCAGCGTCTCTGACGACGTCTCCCATGCCAAACCGCGCACGAAGAGCTTCCGATTCGCGACGTTCGTGCTGGCAATCGCCATCACTTGCTCTGCGACGGTTTCGTGCTTCAGAGCTCTGTCGCCGTCAATCGTCAGTAAGCGTTCCCACGTCGTCACCATTGGCAATTAACCCCGTCGCAATATAACCATCACCAATACAAAACAAAAGTGTCATCGCCGCCAAAAGGAGGAGACGAGACGCTCTTACGACCATAACCCCAACAAAAAAAAGGATCACACAAACCGATAGCCATCCAGAATACGGCAAGAAGCACATGCCGAACCGTCAACAACACACGCGACACGCAAACAGTATCAATGAAGCCATCGCCATGGAACCATCGACACCAAACCATCGTCATCAGATCATGGCCATCCAAGCACCGCCGTCCGATCACCGTCATCCAATCATCGTCATCCGACATGGCCATCCAAGCACCGCCATCCGATCATTGTCATCTAAGGGTTGCCATCCAAACATTCATCCGAAATCATCCGCAGTCCGCGTCCCACGCAAGTCGCCACATGCATCATCACAGATCAAGACAGACACAAGCACAAGCACACACAACAACCATGTAAGCACATACACAACACCATGAAGCAAGCATGCATAACCGTATATACTTCAATCCTCAGGCAATCATCAACGACCAACCATGCATGCAGAGTCAATAACTCCAGAACATCGAACTGCATCTTAGGGCATAAATCAAGGTATTTTTTCAATGTCCAGAATCAGGCAGAAAATCGCGAGAATACATCCTAATCTCAAGCAACGATCTTGCTAGAATGAAATACAGAAAATGAAACTCACGCGTCGAGGAGAAGAGAAACAAGATCTTCTTTCGACAGCATTTCCAGCATCTTCCTCATCTCCATCTCGTTCAGAACAAATTCGGAAACCCCGGAGCCGTTGTCAACGCGCCTCTTCTTATCGTTTTGATCCATAAACGTAAGCAGCACGCTCGAGGAAACTCGAGCGGAAAGTCCAGAACTTCCAAACGGAGAACCTCTAGACTCAGAACAAAAGAGATCCGAGAGCAGAAAGGCGGAGTGGCGAGCTCCTTCACAAAACGAAGGTAGAAGAAGCAAGGATGGTTGAAGCAAGTTGATCTCGGGAAGCTAGGGTTTCAGTTGTTGGTTGCAAGGGAGGAGGAGGTGTTGTGGGAGGGAGAGAGAACACCACGAAACCTGGAAAGGTGTAGGTACACTACAAGATTCGGGTACAGAGATGTACACTTTGTGACAAATGATGAGTCCTTCCATAACGAAATTCGTCGGTCTCAGAAACTCCAGCCGACAATTTCGAGGTCAGACTTTTCGCGCCAACAGGGACAGAGGGAGCGAAGTCGCAGTTCGTCTGCCGTGCTGCCAAGCTGTGCTGTGCGGCAAAGATCAACCAGCCTACCTCCGCCCCACATCCCACGGATCTGGTTGGGTTGATCGTTGATCAACCACCAGCTTCTGTCCGCCCCCGAATTGTGACTGTCCATCTGCCTTCACCAAACCAGCAAGCTTTACCCCCCGTTATTATATCACTATCGATCTTC